TTTTGAGATAGAGGCTCGCTCTGTTGCCCAGGCTGGAGTTCAGTGGCACGATCTTGGTTCACTGCAACCTCTGCCTCGTAGGTGCAAGTGATTCTCCTGCCTCAGCCTCCCAAGTAGCTGGGATTACAGGCATGTGCCACCACCCGTGGCTAGTTTTTGTGTTTTTAGTAGAGACAGAGTTTCGCCATGTTGGCCTGACTGGTCTCCAACTCCTGACCTCAGGTGATCTCCCCACCTCGACCTCCCAAAGTGCTGGGATTACAGGTATGAGCCACTGCACCTGGCCTGTATGTACCTTTTCATCCTCACCTCTCTACCACCCCAGCACAGATAGTGTGCTTATTGTTGCAATTCAGAATTTATCAGTTGCCCTACTTTATGTTTTAAATATAGTGTTCTTAGGATAACTGCAATGAGATTATTTCTCTTCAGAATATCTAAATGTAGTGGACGAGAGCTTTGCCACCCTGGGTTCAATCAGAGATTGGAACTGAGTACCACCTCAGCACCACATTCTGGAAGGCTGTCAGAGACAATCACTGTGCTCTCTGATACGGTTTTCTACTTGACTTGCAACGCTTGACAGCCTTCAGCAAAGATAACACGTTTCAGTGACAGCTTTCAGCTTGGTATCACCAATGACAGGGTTTAGACGTATGTAGGGTTCACTCAATTCAAGTTGATTCATGACCTTGGTCTTCCAGAAGCTGATTATCAATCTTTGTCACTCTCCTGGCTTCCTAGAGTGATCCACAACCTGTTGCATATCTGAGTGCATGTACTTGATTTTAGAGCAAAGCTATCCAAATACAAACCCATCGGTCTCAGAAATTTCAGAAGCACAGTGTTCTGAGAAGCAGAAATAAATCTTTGTTACTCTCATACAACTAATTACTGTAAAATTCACGACATAATACTAGATAAGCCAATATATCATAAATAAGATGATTCTGCCATAGGAAGGGTTTTTAAAAAGTGACAACCAGCTATATGCAATTTGAAACAAAGAACATGCAATTTTTTTTTTTTTAATCTCTTGAAAGAGTTTTAACTTATGGTGGTTTAGAAACTTGGGTGCAGAAATCAACTTGTGTTGTTTTATCACTAATATAAACTTCCTTCATTTGGTAGGTCTTTTTTTTGAGACGGTCTCACTCTGTTGCCCCGGCTGGAGTTCAATGGTGTAATCTCAGCTCATTGCAACCTCTGCCTCCCAGGTTCAAGTAGTTTTTGTGCCTCATCCACCTGAGTAACTGGGATTGCAGACACCCACCTCCATGCCTGGCTCAATTTTTTTTTTTTTTTTTTTTTTTGAGGCTGGAGTGCAGTGGGACAATCTTGGCTCAGTGCAACCTCCACCTCCCGGGTTGAAGCAATTCTTCCACCTCAGCAACCTGAGTAGCTGGGACTACAGGAGTGCACCACCACCCCCGGCTAATTTTTGTATTTTTAGTAGAGACGGGGTTTCACCACGTTGGCCAGACTGCTCTGGAACTCCTGACCTCAAGTGATCTTCCCGTCTCAACCTCCCAAAGTGCTGGGATTATAGGCGTGAGCCACCCTGCCCTGCCAGGCCCGGCTAATTTTTATATTTTTAGTAGAGACAGGGTTTTGCCATGTTGGCCATACTGGTCTCGAACTCCTGGCTTCAAGTGATCTGCCTGCCTCAGCCTCTCAAAATGCTAGGATTATAGGCATGAGCCACCATGCTTGGCTATTCTATAGATCTTAACACACCATGAGTTAATAAATTTTTTAGAATTTGGAGAAATAAGTATTCATTTGATCTATTTTGTCTGGATCATATAAATTCAACTGAACAGTACATACTAGTGCAGGCTAAATTAGGGTGGGGTTTATAATTTCCACATTGAATAATATTGATAGGCAATCTTTCTTTTTTAAAGAAACCACCTATCACTGTACTACAGTGTTTTTGTTTGGTTGGTTGGTTTATTTATATATATTTTTGAGACAGAGTTTTGATCTTGTTGCCCAGGCTGGAGTACAATGGAGTGATCTCGGCTCACCACAACCTCCGCTTCCTGGGTTCAAGCAATTCTCCTGCCTCAGCCTCCCAAGTAGCTGGGATTACAGGCATGCGCCACCATGCCCGGCTAGTTTTTTGTGTTTTTAGTAGAGACAGGGTTTCTCCATGTTGGTCAGGCTGGTCTTGAACTCCCGACCTCAGCAGGTGATCCACCCACCTCAGCCTCCCAAAGTTCTGGGATTACAGGCGTGAGCCTCCGTGCCCGGCCCACTGTACTAGTTTTGAAAGATGGTACAATTAAGAGAAATGGGTTAAAGGGGTCGTGGTATCTGCATTATTTCTTACAACTGCATGTGAATCTGCTATTGTGAGAAAAATTAAAAGTTTAAATTTAAAAAAATTCGTGTATCATGAGCCACATGGTCTGCCTTTGTGCCATCCATTTTATATCTATCTTGCATACCTAGATGAACTTTCGTAAATCATTAATTTTTAAGCAACACATATTTTTCTTCTCTAAAATTATTTTAGAGTATTTTCTGGAACTTTATATTCCAGGAAATAAATTCAAGAGGGAGTATTTATTTTTTTCTGATGGAAATTTACAGGTCACTTATCTGTAAAATAGACTCTGTCTTTTGTATATTAAAATATGAATATAGAAAGTTAATATTTAAAGCGGCCTATTACATACAGACAGTAACTCTCCCATAAAACAGCTTAAATGTTCAGATCTGTCTTAACCCCCTGAGAGTGCTATATATCCTACCCAGCATAATCAATAGAGCAACTTGGTTGTACCTAACCCACTTCTCGAAAGTTGTCTAAAATATCTTCACAAGACAGATAGCATCTCTCTGTTTCTTCCTGAGGAGCCGTAACTATCTATTGTACCAGTTCCCACTTTATTTCATCTAAAGTTATTTCCCTTTCTTTCATTTTTGTAGAATGAAAAGATAATGCATTCATCAAGAACATTTCAAGACAATCTTGCTGTTCCTAGCATTAGCTTCCAGCAAAAAGATCAGAATTTAATACTTAGATGGTGCTTCTGATGTATGTTAATAAGACATGGTCTTCTATGAATTTTAACTATTGGGAGGAGTTTTTTTTTTTTTTTTAAACTACTTTTTCTTACATCCCATACTGAGGACAAATAGTAAATGTGTTTACCACAAAGCATGCTACTTTCATCTTCTTTCGTTATATTGGTTTATTATATTTTTTCTTTGCCGACATTCTTTCCTATTTGTCTGCATATGCCATAGTGCCTGACACAGATGGATTCAAAATATGGTTATTCAGTTCACACAAGAATCAATGGGAGGGAAACTATAGATGGGGAAGTCAAGAGTCATTTTCTAGTATGTTACTGTGCCCATAAAACTAAGGCAAGTATTTTACGACACTGTTGCATTGAGTTTATTTTACCTGGCTCTTAGAAGTTTTCAGTAGAGTAGCAACTTAAGAGCACACAGAGGCAAGCTAAGTAATGAACAAACTAATTGCTAGCTGGTAAAAAGAGAAAAATAAAATCTTAACAACCTTCGTCATTTCCACATGCTATTTCCCTAACTGCGCTTGTGATCCAAGCTAAGTGTTGGAGGAGGATGTGGCTCTGTTCAGATGCAGGCCAGGGGTAGCCACCCCTCCCCAAGGTCAAGCAAGTGTCTGGAGTTGAAAGATACTCTTTGC